TTCTTTAAGAAATTATCCATTCTGGACAATGAGGGAAGGGGCTGTGTCAGCGGGTCAGGGCATGACTGATCCCTGTGGCTTTGGGCAATGTGATATAACCTACCGTGTCTCCCACAGAATCAACTCCCACTCCCACTGCCCAACCCAGAGGCCTTCCTCAGGCTTATGCTGAGAAGCGTAATTTGTCCTCCTCGGCCTCCCAAAGTGCTAGGATTAAGGCATGAGCCACCATGCCCGGCCTCCCTTCTAATGATTTTCTTCATAACATTTTCTTTTCTCTAGCTTACTTTGTTGTAAAAATACAGCACATAATACATATAACATAAAAATATGTGTTAATTGGTTGTTTATCTTATCAGTAAGGCTTCTGGTCAACAGTAGGCAATTAGTGGCTAAGTTGTTGGGAAGTCAAAAGTTATATGTGGATTTTTGACTGCACGGAAAGTCAATGCCTCCAGCCCCCACATTATTGAAGGTCAACTATATTCTTGTGTATTTCTTTTAGTCAGTATTTGTACTCGTTTCCCTGGAGTTACGCCTGAGAGTGGGATTACTAGGCAATAGGGTGGGTGTATGTTTAGCTGTACGGTGCACTTCCAAGTCGTTTTCCAAAATAATTGTGCCACGTGAGAATTCCAATTTCTTCACATCCTCATCAGCACATGGCATTGTCAGTCTTTTTAATTTTAGCTACTCTGGTGGGTGTGTGGTGCCCCCTTACTGTGGCTGACTATATTTCTCTGACAACTAACCATATTGAACACCTTTTCATATGCTTATTGTCTATTTGGAAATCCTCTTTCATGAAGCGCCCAAGTCTTTTTCTCATTCTTAAGTTGATTTCTTCATCATTTTCTCATTGATTTGTAGAGTTCTGTTCTGAATATGATCTTTGTTATACGTATGTATTGCAAATCTCTTCTAAGGTTTGTCTTCTCTTTTCACTCAGTAACCGTGCCCTTTGATGAACAGAAGTTCTTAATTGTAATGAAGTCCAACTGATGTTCTCGTGTGTATGTCTTTCCCAAAGGATCCAAAAAAAAAAAAAAAAAAAAAAAAAAAAAAAAAACTCAGGGGGAAGAGATTTGGGGAAGATACCACTATTCCTCATCTGACTTTGCCTTGGGAGCCATGGGAGAATGACTCCTGGAGAACACGCAACCTTTTCCAGCTTTCCCCCAGAAGGGCTGGCCCAGGGAGGTTTCTATAAACCTTCTCCCTAACTCTTCCAGCCTGATTTCTCCTTGACCCAAAAATTGTAGCCTCTCTGGGGGCTGTTGGGAAGGGGCATGGCTGCCCCCTGGGTTCAGTTCCCCTTCCTTCCCACGAGGGTCCTCACCTGCTCCAGCATGTCCTTAGCGAGGTCCTCCTGCTCATCCATCTTCAAGATGGCCTGCCGGATCTCCTCGTTAGAAAGCTTCAACCTAAGGCAAAACCCCACCTCAGTCCAGGACAGCCTTCAAACCTTCTTCTCCAAAAGGTACCACTTTGCCTTCCCTCATTCCCTAACATGGACTTGGGAATGTATTTAATAGTACTCCCCCCTCACCTCCTCTACAAAGCCTTCTTAGACTAAACTAGTATGATTCAGTCCATAAACTTGATAATGAGCATTTTAGTGTCGAAACAGAGACGTGAGGGTCTCTGTTCTCTTGATAATCCATCAGAGCTGATAGGGGTCATTTGGGAGTAAAAGAGATGTCTTCAATGTAGACCAAAGGGACAGGGCAACGAGTTCCTGATCCTTTTCCTCCTCCTCATGCTTAAAAAATGCACAGCATCTCCACGGGAGGACAGGATTATCGGCAAGCCACTACGAGGGCAATTTCCTGCTGCCTTCGTTCTCAGAACACAGAATCGCTCTCAGTCTTCTGACAGCGCCTCAGCTCCCACACAGCTGTCCCAATCAGTCTTGCTGTCTGGGAGATGGAGAAGCCACACAGCCCCATAGCCCTTCCCTATCCCCTCCACATGCACCCCCATTGGGAACCCTGGGGATTCAGAACTCTTTCCACCATCAAGTGGGGGAAACTGAGGCTGGGGGGCTTGTGAGAGGAAAGGGGGGAGGATGTCTCAGAGGCAGCTGGGGCAGCACTAAGAATAGTATGGGAGGTGGTGCCCTCTGACCCTGGCTCAGGCAGGAGGCCCCGGTACAGAAGCTGTGCTGTTAGCGCAGATACTGCCCTGTTTGTTCTGCAGCCGCGGGAAATGCTTAGGGGCTGAGATCATGCTGCTCAATGGCCTGAGCCAAGCGAGGCCCTCCGTGGGCTTAGAGCAACTCAGCCACCAGATGCTGACCAGGCTGGGCAAGGGCCTCGTGACTGGGCAGTTTCCTGCCTGCAGAGCCCCGAACTGCTGCTCAAGGCAGGTTCTCAGGAGACAGTTCTAGATCAATGCCCTCCCCTCCCAGGGGACAGCAGAGAGGGAGAGGCCCAAGACTGCCATCACTCCATTCCTCCACCCGCTTTGTGCCCCAGGCATTCAACTCAACCACCTTCTTTTGCACATACTTGGAAAGAAGGATGATGCAGTTTTGGGCCCTCCGGCCGTCAATGACCGACAGTTCTTTGACCTTGCGGGAAGCCAGGTAGATGTCCTCGGTGGAGCCCAGCTCTTTCTGCAACCAACAAGTCAAGTGGACGGTTGAGGTGTGTGTTCCCTAATCCTCCTCTTACCCACCCCGCAACAGCCACCTCCTACCAATCCAGGAATGCTCCTGGCGTGAGGGGAAGGGGGAAGAAAAAGACAGGAGAGAGAGGAGGGGGGCTAATGGCTAGCTTTAAGAGAAGGTATCTGGGACTTTTCCATAGGCTCCAATGGGTTGGGGAAGGACACTGAGGAGTCCCCCAACCTTTCTTTAAGAAATTATCCATTCTGGACAATGAGGGAAGGGGCTGTGTCAGCGGGTCAGGGCATGACTGATCCCTGTGGCTTTGGGCAATGTGATACAACCTACCGTGTCTCCCACAGAATCAACTCCCACTCCCACTGCCCAACCCAGAGGCCTTCCTCAGGCTTATGCTGAGAAGCTGGTTGCAAACCCCCAGAGGGAACAGCTACTGACTCCTAGGGACTTTAGGCACAGCCCAAGATGCCCAGGTGGAGAGCATCCACAAGTTCAGAGGTATGGAAACTGAGGCAGAACTCTCTCCTCTGAGTCCCAGCAGGCAGGTTCCAGAGAAATCATTGATCCCGCCCCACTCCTTCTCTTGGGCCCCTGGTGAGGTAGACAGGAGGCTGTCTAGTGTGCTGTTCTTCCTCTGGGAGCTTCAGGGGCCACCTTGCATGGTTATCTTTGTGAACTGTGTAGTGCCTACCCTGTGTGTCCTTACAGGAAAAGCTCTCCTTTGGCCTGGTGGGTAAGACAGTAGACCTAGAAGCCTTCTCCTCATTCCAGGAGACATTGACCTCCACTGCTGCCAGGGGTCTATTTGATTACCTCGCTCTGCTACATTTCCTCTTTGGGGGCCCTCTCCCATACCACCCTGTACGAATGGGGGATAAGGTAGAAGGTGGAATGGACAAGTCCTCTCTGTCTGGCCCAGTACAGAGCAGCAGCCCGGGACAGCAGTTAAAAGTTGGAGTGGTCAGAGCCCCGAGAGTAACTCACCTGCTGAGAAGGATTAGTTATCAGCTCCTAGGCGGCAGCCACAGCCAACAGAGAATTAAACATGCACAACATTAGCCAAGACATTTGGGGACCCAGAAATAGCATGACAGACAGGGGGATCCCTCAGCATCTACACTGTCCACTTTGTCCCAGTGAGACCCATGGTTGGAGACAGGCACCCGTAAGCGGCACTAGACAGGAGCTGCTTCTAGCACACATGCACTCACGGAGAAGCCAAACGAAGCGGAGATCAGGCAGCTCCTCCCATCTGCCCAGTGGGACCACCACTCCCCAGTCAGGGCAGACCAAACCCCTGAGTTCTCCCACCCCAGGCTGCCTGTTCTTCCTTTTCCTCTGCTGAAAATGTGCAGAGGGTAGAGGACATTCCTCCATCCTGGGATGAGTTCACCTTTCTAAATAGGGGAGGAGTCACAAATGAACTCTATCTGGAAGCTCCAGAAAGTTGTGTTTATTGAGGCAGAGGAAAGCAAGTGTCCTTGAATTTGCTCATTGTCCCTCATCTGTCCTTTGATGTACAATGGGAACTGAAGAGGCACAGCCCACACCTCTGTTCTCCCTGACACCGATGGAGTGGAAGCTACCAACTCAAAACCCGCATGGGGCATAGAGAAGACCATGACTCCCAGGACCTCCCCCGCCCCACAACCAGCTGTGAGAGGAGGAAACGAGGTTCATACGGCCTCCGGGATCTCTCCAGTCCTGCTGCTGGGATTTCAGTCCCAGAGACTGGATGGCCCACTGAGTGAGGGGAGGCAGGTGATTGCACTGTGTGGGCTCAGAGAGGTGAGAGGGACAGGACAGGAGGCCTTTCAGTCTTAAATCTTCTCAACTCACCAAGCTGGGATGCCCCAGACCCAGTTTGTCCAAAACCCATAACCTTCTTTCCTGACTGGCCCCATCCCAGCCTCACTTCAGGGCCCTGGAGCATGGGTAGGCTGGGCCAGAGCCCTGTCCTGCAGAAAGACTCTCAAACGAGGAGGTGGCCTGCGATCACCAAGCCTGGTACGCGTGCCACACACTCCTCTGTCCTCAGCCCCACTTGCGGAGAATTGGCTCCCAGGAGCCAGTGCTCATAAGAGTTCCTTTCAGCTCCAGCAGCCTTAGCTGCCAGCCTGACATGGGCATGGGGTTAAAAATGTCTCCTGGAATTAGGAGGAGAGAATGTGATGCTGTGGGCACCCACATTTAAACAAACAATCATCTGGCCAGAGCCCTAGGAGTGGCTGCATGTGTCCTCGGTCATCCACAGATCGGGGCTGGGCAGAAAGTGAGCTAGGGCACCCTCTCCAGCTCAGTGGGGAGCCAGGCCACAACAGCCAGCCATTGCCAGGACCCACTCATTGGCACCAGGGAAACCCTCGAGACTGAGGTCCTAGGCTAAGTAGAGAAAACAAGGAAGATGGTAGCCCAGCCCCAAGAGGGATCAGTCCCTCTGGGGCGGGGCCAGAGAGAAAGCAATTCCCTGAGGCTTCTAAGCTGGTCACTCCCTAAATTGACTTAGAGGGAAGGTCCCCCGCTGTGCTAGTTGCCATGTGGATTCCTGGGCCCCAGCTCATCTCCTGAATCACATTCATTTGAGGGTGAGGTCTGAGAAGCAACCCTTTTGGCAATCCCCACAGGTACTCGGCACAGTTTGAGATTCCCACCTCAGGAACGCCCTGCGTTCTGGCAGCAACTCACCCCATACTTTCTCTGTGAGTGGAGGACCAGACTTGCTGGCAGCTACCTGTACAGAGAGCCTTGAGAGCAATATCCAAGGCCTCCCCAAGCCCAGCCCCAGCCCCAGCCCCAGCCCCGAGTGACGAGGAGCAGCACCTTCTGCCTTCCTTGCAAGGCAACATCCCCTGCTCGGTCTCACAGAGGTGTTGACAGACAGAATGTGGTGGAAAAGTGGTTTGAGAAGTGATTATGCCTTCTAAGCCTAGTCCCTGAATCCTGGGCCAGAAAGAGCAAGGGTTCACAGTGGTCAGGCCTTGTGACTCTACCTCCGATGCTCCAGGATGGAAGAGAGAAATGGACAAAACACCGTTTCAATACTTGGTGTATAAATATGAACCATAATACAAGGATGTTTCCCCCTATAGCCTGTGCACCTCTACTTCATACCTACATCCTCGGCAAGAATAAAATCATCACCTCATAAAGAATAAAATCATTCAGTATACATGAGAGGAAGGAAGGGAAGGAGGAAGGGAAGGAAGGCAAGGCAAGGCAAGGCAGGCAGGCAGAAAGAAAACAAGCCGAGGTTTGGCTTCAAGGGTATGGTATACGGAAGTTAAAACCCAAGAGGCCAGAGGGTGTAGGGTCTTACCTGGTGCCTCTGATAGGCTGAAAACATCTTTTCAAAATCCTCTAGGTCCAGAATCCGAAATACCTGCATGTCATCAATCTCATTCCATACGGTGCCAGGGACACGCTCCTAAGATTCAGGGTAGGGAGAAGACCCCATGGTTGGCCCAACTCCATCATGGAGATGCCCCATGCCTCCCTAACCCCACTTATTTCCCAACTGCACATACTACAATGACCAGGATTTCAGACCTTCAGAAGGGAGTCGGTTGCTCCTCTCAACCTCCAACTTTCTTGAATACTCTGCTCCAGGGTAGAGGCCAGAGACAACCCCCTTCTCCTCCCCTTGTGCATGGAGCCACATGTAAGCATGTTCTAGAAATCACTGGGGGTGCTGGGGGGATGGGTAGGCAGTAGGAAAGGGGGTGCACTTCACTTTTTCCAAAAGCAAAGTCAGAAGCTGCACTCTCAGGGTACTTCACACAGGCCCACTCCCCCTAAAGGGCAGGGTGCCTGGGAGTCACTCCTGTTCTTGGCTGCCATCACTGGAAGATTAAAGCCATACGTATTTGTGATCCTCAAAGCTGCAGCACTGACTGTATTTATGTATCTCAGATGGTTGTTTTCTTTCCCAAGGGTCTTCTTCCCACTTTCCCAGATTCTCAAAGTGGACAAATACCAAAGTTTGGGACCTGGCACCTGTAGTGACACTGCTGAGACCAGCAAGACTCTGCTACAATTTCCCTTTGGGCAGACCTAGGGAGGGTGTTACTATCCTTTACAACAGGGTTTTACCTTCCAAGATCTCTCCATTTAGGCCTTACCCCAACTCTGTGTAGGACCTTTGCACTAGGGTCTGGAAAGGAGCTGTTAGCCAAGCCAAGCCAAAAGAAAAAAAAAAAACCCTGAAAGTCTCGTAGCACGCTGCTGATGGCCCAGAGCACAGCGAGCCAAGCTCCTGACAGGGCGTTCCAACCCTCCCCTCCCAGGAATCCCCACCTCATCTAGAGCTTTGCTGTCCTTCAGCACAGAACCTCTCTGCCTTCCTCTACCTAGAGCACAGCGGGGAACCTCGTTTAATGCCTCCTCTTCCTCTTTCTCCCTACAACTCCCCCTCAGAAAGACTTGGAGAGAGAAACATACCTTTCACTCACTGTTATTTTCTTAAACTCTGGAAAGGGGAGGCTAGGCCAGAGTCAGGGGGTGGGGACATTCCTGTGGCCTTCTGAAGGCCAGGGACCCTCTCGTGGAATGCGGCTGGGAAGCTTGGAGCAGCAAGGGATACAGGCAGCTGGCCAACCCCAACACAGATGCATTCTTTTCATGGCAGAAACAACCGCTGTGTATGTGTGTGTATGTGTGTGAGCGTGTGTGTGCTCACAGAAGCACGCGTGGGGTAGGGGAAGGGACTACGAGAGGAGTCGAGCTTCTGGAAAGGGGTGTGTGGGAGGCAAAGAGAAGATGAGAAGGGAATGGAATCAGGGAAGGCAGAGACAGAGCCGGCTGAAGCAGCGTGCAGCCGGAGTCTAATCTGCAGGGAGGCCTCCCTCTGCAGCTAGGACCAGGGTGGAGGTAGGGGAGAGAGAAGCCTGCAAGGGTAAAGCTTCCTATCCTTCTCTATTCTTGGTGAGGCTGGGGTAAGAAGAAATGGGCTGGAGAGAGAGAGCTGGCTGTTCCACACTGGGAAGAATTTCCCGTGAGACAGACGACTAAGCTCAGGCTCTCTCTCTCTCTCTCTCTCTCTCTCTCTCTCACTTCTTCCCAAACACTGCCCAGCCCACCCCCAGCTTCTAGCATCTGCCAGAAGGACTTGAGGCTCTTCGAGGAGGTATAACTGAGGTCCGGAACCAGAAAGCGGTAAGTCTGTTCCTAACATTCCCTACATGTTGACACTCACCACGTTGCCCTGATATGCCCACCTTGCATAATTGTCGAATTTAATTTTCTCACCACTCTGGCCAAGAGCCCATCATCTCTAGTCTAGACTCCTGGGACTTCTGCCCGCTGGAGATATCCTTCACATGCCAGGGAAAGCTTTCTCAAAAGCATGTTTCGTTATGTTTCCCCCGTGGTGCACTGCCTTTGGGGTCAGGCAGGCCTAGCCTGCTGACACTCCCAGCCCTGCCATTTTGTGGGACTGTGGGAAGATGGAGGGATGAGATTTTTCTCCCATGTCACATAAAAGGAAACTGAGTCTCCATCATGTTTTTTTACCTCACCAAGTTGATGTGAGAATTAAGTGAGATAACATACTTCCAACATACATGGTAGGGCCACTAATAATAACCTATTATATGAAGACTTTCTATATGCCAGTCACTATTCCAAGTACTTTGTATGTAGGAAGTCAATTAATCCTCATAGCAGTCTCTTTTTTTTTCAAGCCGGAGTCTTGCTCTGTTGCCCAGGCTGGAGTGCAGCATGTAGCAGTACAATCTTGGCTCACTACAACCTCCGCCCCCCAGGTTTAATTATCCTGCCTCAGCCTCCAGAGGAGCTGGGATTACAGGCATGCGCCACCACACCTGGCTAATTTTTGTATTTTTAGTGGAGACGGGGTTTCACCATGTTGGCCAGGCTGGTCTCAAACTCCTGACCTTGTGATCTGCCCGCCTTGGCCTCCCCAAATGCTGGGATTACAGGTGTGAGCCACTGCGTGGCTGCAATCTCTTGAGATGGACATTATTATTGCCCCATTTACAGATCAGGAACCTGAAGCTCAAATGATTCCATAACCTACACCTGTCACACAATTAAAAGCTTGGGATTGGGGTGATAAGTTCTCAAAATGTTTTTTAAAAGCCTTTCACCTTTCTCTATGATCTCCAAATGTCCCCCACTGTCTATTCCAACAAACCCACACCCTCCAGTATAGAAATAAAACTCTGGCCTGCTCTGGGCCCCTGGGGAATCTGTGCAGACTTCACTGTTACTGGACCCAGAGAAACTCCTGAGCACACAGCTTCATATGATGAAAATGTTGCAAAAATATTACTTGCTTTGGCTGTCCTTCCTTCATCATTGATGTGCAGGATAACTTTTTATTACATCTTTAAAATCTTACATTATAAATTGTGACAATAGGAGACAAAACGTTATTTCTCTTTTTACCACAATACAAAATGTTATTTTCTGATGGTGAACAATGAACCTTTCTGCACAGCCTGCAGCCTTTGGTTCTGCAGAGCAGTTGGCCTACTCATGTGCAGTTTGTCTTTCTGGCTCACCTCATGGCCACAGAGCACCCACAGGGTACAACTGTGCAGTGCACCTGTCACCAACCTCAACAATCTTGCTTTGAATGCTGCTAACAGGTGGCTCTAAAGCTTAAGTAACTCAGATTGGAGATGTTATCAGAGGCCCAGGAAACTACAAATGGGCTGTGTTCACACTTCATCTTTCCACCTAGATTATAAAGCCAGAGGCAGAGGGAATTTTCGAGATCATCTCACACATGAGCAAACTGAGATACAAGTTGAGTGATTTACAGAGGTTGTATGGCTAAAGCCACACCTGGTTTGGTTAGAGCCTCACCCTTAACTCATCCCAGGCTCTCTAGGTGTTTCTTTGAACTCGCTTCCTAATTTGGCAGATCCTAAGCTCTGAGAGGACAATGGCATTTTCTTACTATTCATCTACCTGGTCTGCCATTAGGAGAAGAGCCCTAATAGATAGCTGACCACCTACTTAGCAATCTTGCATCTCTTGACTCTGCATTTGAGCTCACTGAAGCTCAAACACAATGGTACAGTTATGAGTTCACCAAGAGCTAGTCCAACAGGCCCATAGGATAAAGGTCAGTGTGGAATCCATTCATCCCAGCTTCAAATCCCAGTGAGCCAGCCTAACTGAAACCAGTTACCATGCAGGTGTTTACCTCAAGGACAAAGCTCCTAGTCCTCCTAATAGGACTGCCATTGTGCAGAACCAGAGGCAGGGCTTGGTCCAGGCTGGAACTGGCCTTCGATTGCTAGAGGTCTAATGCAACCAAGGGCATCTCTACTCTATGCTCATGAGAGTCCCACAGAGGCATCGACCCCCACCTGTGGTTCTGGGATTGGTGCTTATTAGTGGATAATACTCATTAGGGTCTCTCACTGCTGGTCCAGACATGAGGCTAGTGTGTGCAGCTTCCCCCAGGAAGATGTCAAAATGGATATGTCTTGCCATCAAACTCTTTAGTCCTTTGTATACAATGCCCTGATCTTTGCCAAAACCTAGATGCTGGCCCAAGCTCTTTGCTTATTTTTCCATCCTTTCCTCCAAATGGACCCTGTCCTTGAATTCTACTCAGTGTTTGTCTTGCCTGTGACTCCATTAACCCTGGGCAAACACAAATTCCATTTGTAGACGACTTTGTCAACATGAGCATTGCCCCATGCCAAGCGTCTCTCCCAGGGTAGGTGTTTTCCCCATGGACCATGAGCTGCCTGGTACAGCAAACCCACTTTGTACATCTACATGACTGCCCTTACCCGCCACCAAAGAAAAGACCTGGAGTGGAGATCTGCAAACAAGGGGCAGGCGGTCCCTGAGGCTGACTGCCCTACTGTAGAAGAATGGGCCCGCCAGCCCCTTCCCAGACGCTCACCTCATTCAGCTTCACCCAGTTGAAGGACTTCAGTGGGTGGGAAGGCTGGGGGACACGCTTTTTCCTGAGTGGGACGTCACTGCTGGGGTAGGGGTCCTGAGGGAGGGGCAGGCCCATGCCGAGGCAAGGTGGGGCACCTGGGGGAGTCGGGGGTCCCCCGGGAGGAAGGGGTGGTGGTGGTGGAGGGGGACAACAGGCGAAGGGCAGAGGAGGAGGGGGTGGAGGCAGGTCATTGGTTGTCATTGAGGAAGACAAGGTGAGTGGGCCCCCTGGGGGTGGTGGGGAAGATACAGGGCCTGTCTGTGAGGAAACAGAAAAATCGCAAGGACAAAGCCATTAGCACCGATGCCATTCGGGTCTCCCACCTTGATTCCTCTCCTTACTCCTAGTCTCCTTCTATACTAGACCCCAAATCCTACCCTTACCTTCTACACGCATTTGGCCCCATTTTCTCTCTCTGCATCCAAACATCTAACACACACAAACACACACACACCACCATCCCCACAGACAGACACACAAGTCACACACACGGGCAGTGGACAATCAGAGTCATAGCCATCACGATGCAACAGCAGGATTGATCTATGCAGTTGTGTAGGTTACTGACTGCACAAGGTCTCCAGCTGAGAGGGAAGTGGATCCAATTCCAGCTGCACTCTGCTGTCCAAGGTGTGCTTCCTGGGACAGTGTCAGCCAGAGGAAGGGACATTATTTTTCTAACTAACACAAAGGTGCCACCTGTACAGCCTCAAGGGTCTCTTCTATCCTGGCCCAAGGTCTCCATCTCTCTTCTCCCTCATGCTGGGCCTTTCCCACACCTGCTCTGGCCACCCTGTCCTGAAGCCCAGGGTCTTGGCTCAACTATGGAAAGGGGGAGATGTTTGCGTACTGAGAGTTCGCTGAGCTGGGCTACCAGCTCTGCCACTTGTCCCCGAGCCTGGCGCAGCTCCTGGGACTCCCGGGCCAGCTTGTCCTTCATTTTGTTCAGCGTCCGCATCATCTCTTCCTTCTCCAACGTCTTTGTCTCGCATTCCCGCTCCTTCCTCTCCAGACGGCTCACAAGCTCCGTATGTTCTGGAATGGGGGTGGGACAGGAGAGGAAACAGGAGTGAATGTGAGTAATGTGGCCCCTTCCCTGGAAGGACATGGAGTTATGGGCTGGGCAGGGGAAGGGCATGTGGAGTGGACAGCAGGCTTAGGCAGAACCCCTCACCTTTCCGGAACTTCTCTGCCTGGTCTCGCCACTGTTTCACTTCGTTCTCGTTGATGAGCCTGGCAGGGCATAGAGGGAAGGGGCAATGTGATTGTTGACCACTGACTCACAGCTTCCCAGGAGACACCATCTCTCTACCCTCCAGGTGGGGACCCTGGTCTCCAGTCTGTCCAGCCACATCAAGGGGGCTAGGATTTAGACTTCCCGGGTGTCTCTCCAGGTCCCCTGCCCCGTTCACATTATGTGTCTGTGGAGACCGTGAGAGAAAAGACCTTTAGATACCTTATAACCTGGCCCCTTTGTGATACAGCTGGAGCTACTGAGGCTCAGAGAACAGGGGTAGATTAGTTAATGGTAGAACTAGGACTGAACCTCAGGCTCCCCAAGAGTTGTATCATGACTTGCACCTCCTTGTAAAAATAAGTTTACCTTTAAAAGAGATCAAAATATTGGCCCTGCCATGGTCCAGGTTTCCAAAGACCAATGTGTAAGAGCAAGAGACATCACCCACACCAGCAATACAGACTGAGTGTGTTCAGGGTGACACAGACGACAGCCTTGTTCATGCAAAGCTCTTGAAACTGTTCAAATTTAGCTTTTACCTTGACACCAAGGCCTAACAGAGGTGAAATCCCAAAGCGAGATCCCAAGAATCATTTCCTTTACAAATCTGAGAATGTGGAAGAGTTAGACCCATGACGTTTAGACCCAGGACACAGAGAACAGAGTATGGAGAGGGAGATATTTGGTGAAGACATTTCTTTGAAGAGGGTCACTGCTATTATCCCCAAGATGCTACCTCCTTCATCACCATCCAGGGAAGGGGTTCCTTTGGGCCCTCTCCTAGAGTTCTGATTCATGTTCCCTGAAGTTGGGAGGGAGGCAGGGTAGACTGGGGCCCTACTTGGAGCCAAGCAAAGCCCTGGGAGCAAAAGAAAGAGAACATTGCTATGCGGGGCCCTGCCAGCACTCCTAGAGTTTGTTGGCACACGAGATTGCATGAGGGTTGCCCATGGGTCAGATTTAAGCCTCGTGGAGGAACTGGGGTGCAGTTATTACAGTCCCATGCAAGAGGAGCTGTTTCCACCTGAGCGAAAAGTGGGAACATCTACACCATAAGTCTACAGGCACTGGACTGCCAGGGAACCCAGGGCTGACGGAAGGGCTGGAAGCAGCCAGCCAGCTGGAACAAAAATCTGGCATGGCCAGTGAGCTAGGTTTTGTAGTGACAGGTACCCAGCAAGGAACTCCTGAAGATTCCAGGAACACACTGATGTCTTTAACCATATGCCAAGGTGAGAGAGCAGGGAGCCTGTTTACTAAATTACCTTATCAAGTAAGACCTTTTCCCTTTTTCCTTCCTGCCCCCAGGCTGCCTCTTCAGAGGGTCAGATGGGTTAATAGAAAGGAGGGGTGGGAGATAGAAGGGGTTACAGGGTAAACAGAACAGAGAAAAGGCAAATATCACACACAGACATATGTGTACACATATGCACATACACACGCATACATACACACCCATTCCAGTTTCCTGGCCCTAGCTGGTGGAGGAGAAAGATTTAAGGCTAAATCATATCTAGAATGTCATGATTTTTGTCGTCCTAGTTGTAGATTTCAGACTGTGTTGCACTTGAAAGTGATCTTAGGACTTCTGTTACCCAAGAAGGGGTAAAAACTTCATTGGACCTGAGGAGTTTTTAATCCTCTAGCAGTGGAAAAGATTGCCTACTAAATAGTGTAATGAATTAGTAAGAAATAAAACTAAAGTTACCTTTTGATCACTTTCCCAGTTGCACTTGTCCAACATACCAATTAGGATTTTAACTACATCAACATCTGACTATGCAAATGAAAACAGTAGCAAGAATAGCTGGAAAATAATTGTCTACTTGGCTTTGGAATGCAACATAATGAATCGAGAGCCAATTTATCTCCTTTAAGGGCAAGTGGCTCAAACTCATACTGAAAGTTAAGTAAAAGCTTAAAATTAAAAATTAGTATGTTAATGTAAGGCCTTCTTATTAACTGATGTAAATTTAAATTTGTTTCTCTGTGTTTCTCTATCCAAGGTCAATAAACTATGGTAAACCAGAAGGCCTTAGGCTCTGACAACCTTATCCAGCAACCTCATGATTGAATGGTCAGGTTCTACACATCAGTGGTCAGCAAACTTTCTACAAAGGGCCAGAGTAAATATTTTAGGTTTTACACACCATGCACAGTCTCTGTCACTTATACTTGTGTTTAATGTTTAAAATGTAAAAATTATTATTAGTTCACGGGCCATACACAAATAAGCTGGAGGACTGGAGTCAGCCCATGCACAATAGTTTGCTGACCCTCGTTCTATGTTAATGTGTTTAAATTCCCCATCTATCCAACCCATACAGTGGATCGTCGAGAGTCGAGAACATGCCCAATACACCTGTGCTGGCTGTCCAAGAGAATAATCACTAGCCACGTGTCATGTGGCTATTTAAATTTAAATGAAACAACCTTTAAGGTTCAATTCCTTGGTCGTACTAGCCATGTGTCAAGTACTCCATAGCCACATTGAACAGTAACGAAATGGCACTTTTTTCATTAGCTTAGAGAGTTCTGTTGGACAGTGCTGCCCCAGACTCATTTGGGGATGACTAGGTTGTGAAAGGGAGCTGAAGTTTCGCTGGTGAGACCAGAGAGAGATGAGGAAGGTGGAGGAAGACAGGGCAAAGGCTGGCCACTGCTCACATGTTGACGATGTTCTTGACATTGAAGTTCTCCAAAGGAGCCAGGTCAGGGTCCACACCCCGCTCATCCTGGAGGACAATCTGCTGGAGGATGCGGTCCAGGAGCTGCCACTGCTGGAAGTAGCCACCGTTCCGTTTGTCTGAGGGATGACAGGTATCATATCTTTCCTGAGCCCTGGAGTCCCCTAGGGCCCATCCTAGAGTCACTGCCTGGGCTCTGGCTGGTGAGGCATGCCCTTCTCCACCCATGGTGAGCTCCCAGTCTAGAGGAAGAGGCAATGCCATTGCTGATAATGGCAACTCACTGATTCAGTCATCTCTTGATTATCAGCAACTAGACTTCTACGGATGTGTCAGCCACCTCCCCAATATACTTCTCTACTCCCTGAAATACTTTCTGGCTGCCTTTCTTCCTTGTTTGGACCCTAAGCATACTATGCCCAGGAAATGCAGATTGCTTTTTACATTATCTGTAAAAACCACCTGCTCCAAAATATTACATGCTGAATAATGAAGTCTCCAGGGAAGTTTTTTTAAAAAAATATTTTAGTATTATCTACACTATTACTCTACAGAGAAAGATGAAGGGAAACTGATTACAGGTGTGCACTGAGAGTCAAAATGAGTTAGAGAAGTGCTTAATGGAATTCGAGAAGATTTCTTGTGGAAGTGACCTTGAACTATGAAGGTAAAGGCAGAGTGTGTTGTATGTGATCTCATAGAGTCTCACTCTCATCCCCTCTAATGATAGTCATCTGGCTGGACATGGACTTCCTTTTTATGTAATAACCAAAAACTCTCTTTCCTTGGTCCTTAATCCCTAGCACTTTATCTCTATTGACCATCATAAAAATCCAACAAGTTCAATCCTGACATCAAAGCAAACCACAATGCCTACAAGGTAGAATACTGAGTCTGCAAAGTCCCATTTTGGGGCAGAGTAGAAGAACCCATTCACATTGCCCATGGAACAGGAAACAGAGGAATCCCTGGGAGCACAAGAAGTCAGGTTTCCCAGAGATGTATATATCCTCCATGAAGACCTTCTGCAATGAGCTTTGGAGAACTGATAGCTTCTTAATTCAGGTCACTGCGTCTATCCTGTCCACCAGTCTACTGACACATGCATCGCAAAGTGGTATCATTTACCGTCTACCTTTCACCCAGCAAAATCGTGTAAAGCCAGGTCACTAGCTCACAGAGGCAGAACATGTTTTATCTTAACCCTTGACCCCACAGAACCAAAATGCTTTCTCTATGTAAATATCTCGCTGAGCCTCAGGTTCATTCACTATTCAAATGGACATAATGTGTATTCCTTAGGTCTTTCTAAGGTTCAGAGACAATGTGCTAAGGGACCTCACATCATGCCTGGCCCAGAGTTGGCACACAATAAGTCACAGTTGCCATCACTGTCACTATGATTGCTGACACCACCAACATCAACCATTATGGTGGGCCACACGTGTTTTCAAAATATTCTCTTTGTGAAGAGCTTAAGTACCAAGGGGTGCAGTTAAAGCTCATTTCAAATTGCATTCTGGAGTGGCTATTAGCAATTATGTACAATTTATTCAATCACTGTGCACACCTGGATCTTAAGAACTTAGCCACCTGCTCCCGTAGATGCTGACATTTGGTATTTGTAGGCAGAAGCAGGGGCAAGAGTGTAAGAGGGGAAGCCAACAAGGACTAGATAAAGGAGTTGATAAAACCTTAAGAAAAAAACAACCATGTTCATTCCACATCTGTGCTACTCCCCCAAGCACAAAACTTTTTGGAACTCCCCAACATGACTGATCTCTCCCCCATCATGAGCTGAACGCTGAGCTATTTAATTTTGCAATGATCAAGCTACTGTTTCTGGACTAGGATGTCGGAGTTTCTCAGGGCCAAGTCCCCAGCTCCTTCCCCAGATGACAGTGGAGGACCTGGCCCCAAGGAGGGAAGGAAAAGCAGGGGCCTCCGTCATGGGGCCTGGCCTCCCAAGAGCAAGTGCACAGGGAGACATGGTCACACTCCCCAATCCAGGGAGGTCCTAAAGTCTTGTCTCAACCTGCCCCAAGTCAAGGCTCAGGCCAGTCGAGGGAAGCAGCAAGTACAGGGTACTCACAAGGCATCTGCAGGCAGTGGTGCAGCACAGAGAGCAGGCAGGGGTAGGCCTCTGTGTACTTCAGCTTCCTGTGGATCAGCTCGAACATCTGGGAAGCACTCTTGGTGTCAATGTGGACCTGGGAGAGGAGAGGGCACAGTGATTGGGGGGTAGGCAGCAGAGAAAATCAGCAGGAGAGAGAAGACCCTGCTTCCCTCCACTACGCCCTGTCTCATAGGAGAGGTTTTCTTCCCCTGCCTCTGGCCCAGGCTTAAAAAGAGAGAGACAAAAGGAAGAGGGAGATAGTCAATTATGTAAACTAGAGTTTCTCTGTCTCAGCACTATTGGCATCTTGGGTCAGATAATTCCTCATTGTGGGGGCTGGGGGCTGTCCTGTGCATTGTAGGTTGTGTGTCAGCACCCCAGCCTCTCCTTAGCAGATGCCAGTGGCACCCCCTCACACAAGTCAAAATGTCTTCAGATATTGCAAATGTCCCCGGGGGAGATGAGAGCAAACTCGCCCCTGCTTGAGAACTACTGATCCAAACTCAGGGAAGGGAGCAGGGGCATAGAAGTTTCAAAGTAGCAGGTGGCATGTGGCGCAGGTCCACCACCTGGGTTCAAACCCCAGATCTACGCTTTAGTTGTGCGATGACAGGCAAGCTGCTTATCCCCTCTAACCTCTGTTTCTGTATCTATAAATCCAGGGCTTTTGTGAAAATATAATGGGATGCACTCAGTGACTGTAAAGCACCACCCAAAAGTAGCTTTCTATTTGGATAGGGATTTTATAATACAATAAAGCAGAGTTGTGTGCTTTCAGGGTTGCTGAGGCTAAAATGAAAATACAATTTAGTTTACTAAGCATGATCTGGTTAGGGATGGGGAGAGGGGACTCAGGAAGTTGCTGGAAGGCAGGGGAAAGTCAGCCCAGGAAAGGTATTTGAGACTAATCACATGTAATAACTTGCTCCCTTTCCTTTAGGGGTTTCAGTCTCCTCCTAGGCTGATGCCTTCCCAGGGGAGGCTTCCACAGCCAGCATACTGCCAAGGCTCTGGAAGTGGGATGTGATGGTTCATTTTAGGGGTCAACCTGATTGGATCAAGGGATACCCAGATAGCTGGTATGCTCAGAAAGCATTCTTTCTGAGTGTGTCTGTGAGGGTGTTTCTCAAAGAGACTGGCATTTGAGTCAGAGTACTGAGTAAGGAACATCCCACACCAGCTCCACCACAGCACAGGGCCTGGAGAAATGGCTGTGGGGCCACCTAGAACCCTACTACCATACTGCCATCGCTCCATCCTGTGGGCTGCTCATCATCCAATTAGCTTAGGGTCTGGAGGAACAAAAAGGCCAATGAAAGGTGAATTTTCTGTCTCCCTCTTCTGGAGCCAGGACACCCTTCTTTTCCTGCCCTTGGACATCAGAACAGTAGGCTCTCCAGCTTTTGGACTCCAGAACTTGCTCCAGTGGCCCCTTAGGTTCTGAGGCCCCTGGCCTTAGACTGAGCCATGCTACTGGCTTCCCTGTTTCTCCATGCAATAACTCCAGCCTGTCATGGGATTTCTCAGTCTTCATAGTTGTGTGAGCCAATTCCCCTAATAAATGCTCTCTCATCTATCCATCTCTATATGTATCCTATTGGTTGTGTTTCTATGGAGAACTCTGATCACAGGACCTGGCCATGGGGGTGCCCACCAGGGAACCAGCCCACACCAGCCCTGCCACAGCACAGGGTCTAGAAAAGTGGCTCTGGGGCCACCAGGAACCCTACTGCCCTATTGCAATCGCTCCACCCTGCCGGCTCCTCACCATGTCAAACCTCCTGGCTAGCTCCAGGTCATCCTCATTCCGCACCATCTCGAAGAAGTCTAAATGTCTAGACAGAATGGGGAGGCAGAGAGATAGACGTTACAGCCAGGACACACCCTTGGTTGAGGGTTACAGCCCCTTTGAGCCCCCCACTGGCTAAATCTGAAAGCTTCATTCAAGCAAAGTGAAGGCAAAATGGGAAAGAAGCTGCTGTTTGTAGGACACCCATTGTCTGACCTTTATAAGATCCCATGATCTTCCTTCGGGGAGGCCAATCTAGGGTCCCTTCACCTTAGAATGGGCTTCTATACTTTGGCACTACTGACATTTTGGGCTTGCTTATCCTTGGTTGTGGGAGGCTGATCTGTGAGGATGTTTAGCAGCATCCCCAACCTCTACCTCCTAGATGCCAGCAGGACCCCCCAGTGTGACAACCAAGAATGTAATGTCTGCAGGCATTGCCCAGTGTCTCTCAGTTGAGGACATCAGCCCTATGTCTATTTTCCCCAGTACTTTCATAGGGTCTCCAAGTCAGCCCTCAAAACTGATCTCTCCCTCATTTTCTATCCTCATGCACACATCCACTCATTCCACCTCAAAAGGATCCATTCTCTGTCCCTTAAAACCTAGCGTAATAAAATAGCCTAAATGAATGGAACAGAACCAGTGGGGCCTCACTGGTACCACATGGGAACATAATTGTGCCCTTGGATCAACAAGGGCTTTATAGCAAGCATTTTGGGTGGGACATTTCTTTGTTGAGCAGAAAGGTTCTGTGGGACATTTAGCATTCCTGGCCCCCAACAACCAATACCAGTACTGCCCACCACCAACCAGTTTGAAAACCAAAGAACACCCTCACATATTTCCACATGCCCCCCAGGGGGCAGTACTGCGATGGTTGAGGGCTACTGGGTTCACCTGTCTATAACATCGGAGATGAGACAAGCCGGTCAGCAAAGAGGACAGGCAAGGGCACCCCTGCCCCCCACAGAACTGATTCTGAATCTATGCTGGGTATGGCAGCTGGCCTCCAGAGGGAAGGGCAGCCTTCACAAAGGTCCCAACCGTCCCCATCTGAGGCACTGTCCCCGCAGGTTTGCAATGGAGACGGTTGCTTGGACCTTACTTGTCCAGGATGGCATTTTCATGTTGCCGGAGCTTGTCAATCACAGGCTGTATCCCCAGCATCAGGAATTCATACCGTAGATGTAGGCGGAACTCCAGATTATCCTGGGGGTCACGAAGGGAGGGCCAGACTCATTGGCAGATCTCAATTTCCACAACATCCCCAGTGGAGCCCTCATCACCACCCTAGCCACAGACCCAACACACCTCCCACAGCTAACTCACCTGGAGCTGCTTCAAGTCCCAGAGCTCCAAGAAAGAACAGAGACCTTATTTCTTAGTCTAAAGCAAGCCCAGCTTCTTTTAGGTCTCCTGCCCCACTTCCTTCAAGCCCCTTGCCAGTTTTTGCCTTCAGCATCAAAGAGCAGTGTTGTACAGCGACATGGAGCACAAGCTTTGGAATCAGATAGATCTTGGATCTGGTCTTGTGACCTTGGGAAAGCTTTTAGTTTCCCCATTTGTGAAATGGTCATAACATGACTAATCTACAGGGATGACACTTGTTACAATTCCCTGATGAGGTGTGGTTACCAGCTAATCAGAGCACGTGACAGCCATGAAAAGCTGGTACCAACAAAGGTGATGTTAGCACCTGAGGGGAAGATTATTCCCCCAACCGGCCTTCCCTAACCCAGGGCATAAGGACAAATTGTTTAAAAAAAAAAAAAAATGTTTTCCTAGCAGAAAAAAAGGGAAAGTAAAGATCATTAAATTGCTCCCTTTGCCCCTTTTGTCCTTCAAGTTAACCTTGACCAGGGCATCTGATTGCCTTAGAATCTGGAATGTTCACCTGCTTTTCAAGTTCTTCTACTGTTGCTTTTTTTTTTTTTTTTCTTTGAGACAGAGTTTTGCCCTTGTCCTCTAGGCTAGAGTGCAATCATGCAATCTCGGCTCACTGCAACCTCCGCCTCCCAGGTTCAAGTGATTCTCCTGCCTCAGCCTCCCAAGTAGCTGGGATTACAGGTGACCGCCACCACACTCACCTAATTTTTGTATTTTTTTAGTGGAGACGGAGTTTCACCCTGTTGACCAGACTGGACTCAAACTCCTGACCTCAGGTGATCCACCTGCCTAGGCCTCTCAAAGTGCTGGGATTACAGGCATGAGCCACCACGCCCGGCCTGTTGCTATTTTTATACTTCAAGAATCCCATTCTGACCCCAAAAGTAAGGGAGACCAGAAGGCATACCTAACAGAAGGCACTAGAAGAACATGACCAGCCAACCAGAAAACAGTCCAGAAACAGCTCCCTACAAACAAGGTCCCAAACTCGCCCTCCTCCCACCAATGATTCCCCACCGCCCTGAGCCAGCATCAGCCAGCTCAGCTCTGGGTCTGTTCACAATGCATGATGCTACCTATGCAGGCAACTCCCCAGGAGCCCTCCCGGGTTTAATATCAAAAGCAATTATTGGGGAAGCAACACACTCACACACTCTACCCCAGGTCCAGAAAGTCAGGGAACAGCAAGGGCAAGGAGAAGGCACCCCACCTCTCCAGCTCCAGCATTGAGGACTGCATTGATGAAGGACATGATGGCTGTTTTCAGATTCACTTCATCCCGGTACCGGCCCAGACTTCGGTCTAACTCGTTCAGCAGGGTCTAGGTGGAAACGCAGGACACAGCAGGACAGGGCTGAGTCCCCCCCAAGTGTGGCCTTTTTGCACCTTTACTCCTGTCGCCTCCACTACCTAGAATACCCCATCTGCTCTCTCCAGCTAATCAGGTCTGTCCAATTTACTCTGGGCTGCCCCAAACCTCACCTCTGCCTAGAAAATTCCCTTGCCTCTCCTCACCTCAGTGGCAGTGTTGCCTCACTTCCTCTCCACTCAACCTTTGGGGCTTGGTCTACATGGTTGAGCAGTGCTTCAGTGCCGCTTTATCATCGTGCTCCAGCTGTTTACAGCTCATATGTATTCCCTGCCTAGCTCCTTTATGGTATGGACGCTGCTTGTATCCCTTTTCCATCTTCTGCAGAGTCAGGACCCAGTTTTGGGCAATAAACTATAGGGTTTGTAACATCAGTTCCCATCTCTATGGACTTACTCTGTGCCAGGCACTGTGCTAAGATACTTCATATTTACTATTCATCTCATTGACACTTTTCTGGACAGGTCAGGGAAAGAAAAGAGAATAGCATGGCTGAAGCCCCCAGGGATGATCCCAGTGTTCCACGTTAGGCATTGGCTCAAGCATAGCACCTAAAATCTCGATCTCAGCAATTGCACTCAATTCAACAATTCTTGACTGAGCCCCTATCATGAGCCAGGTGTTGAGGTTGGAGATGTAGAGCCCCAAAAATAATGCAGGCCAATATTCCAGCTTCCAGGAACCCACTGACTAGTAAGGAGGACAAGTCCATTTCCCACCCAAACTCATAACTCTTAAGGCCCTGCATGTGTTTTTATACAAGCCTTCGAGGTCCCAGTACTCTTCGCCTGTTACCTTCCAGGAGCAGGCATGCAGACCACATTATCTTCCTTTTCCCCCAGTTTCTGCTGCAAAGAGTCTTCAGGCTCTCACTCACGTGTGACATCCTCCGTCCCACCCAGCTGGCATCCCGCCTCCAGCCAGGCCCCTCACCTGGAAGCGGGTTCGCTCCGCTGCGTACACCTGATAGTGCAGCATGGCCTGCAGCACCTTCTTGTGGCCACCAGGCACGAGGCACACAGCACCCAGGATCTCCAGCACAGCCACCTTGGTCTTGCTGTTCTCTGTGCGCAGGCTCTGGGCTATGGTACTAATGGCCTCAGGCTGTGCCAGCACATGTGCCCGCCCCTGGGAGTTGTTCATCAATGCTTTGATGCAGCCGATGAGCGAGGTGTGGATGCGGCTCTCACAGGTGGCATGGTCCATGCTCCGGAGAAAATTTAGCAGACAGGTCAAGCCCTCCAGCTCAATGAAGCGGGTCACAAATCTACAAATCAGAGCCATTAACAAATAAAATGTATTGTATTTGCATATGATTCTGCGTACACTTTGCAAATAGTTACCCACTTACCTGTGCACCACCATGCACCTTGTCCCACCTACAGTAGCTACTTGGCTTATTTGTAGTTTATCTAAAGCACTGAAATCCTATCATCTTCACAAAAGACTTGTGTCTTATTTGCATTTTAAATACTGTGCTTTTGCATATCATTGTCAGTTGCATGGCTAAAATAGTATGAATGTGAAGGGGATGATCATGATAATTATCAGAGCTGTTAAACCTCAACACTCCTCTCCAGTGAGGATGGAGATGAAGAGAATTACAGTCAGATAATAAAGAGGACTTCCAGATAGGAAGGCCATCAGAGTCATCGAGTCATGGGGTTAAACCTAGGGAAGCTACATTTCAAGGGATCCTAAAGAAAATAGCAGAGTTATCTATCTTGAATGTTAGCAAAAAAAAGAAAAAAAAATTAAAACCCATTTAGCTCAGGGGTTCTTAATTTGGAGTCTGTTCTGCTGAAGAATCTATGGATAGCATTCACAGATCCAAGGACTTGGGTGGGAAAAGAAAATTACATTTTTATTTTTGGTAACTTCTAATTAAAATTTAGCATTTTCCTCAATGACGAATATCGGCAATAAATGACAGTAGTAGTAAATGACAGTAGCACAATCTGTGACTGTGTCACCCCAAGAAATCACAGCTATTTTCATACCAAATTACAGTTGTACCAGGTATCTCAAAATACCATTTGCACTCCTCAGTACTTCAAAATTATGATGGTTATCAGACTCGCAGCTGGCTCTTGCTATTTAAGGTATAAAGAAGCACAATTCATTGCTATCTCACTTTTATTATTTGTAGCTGTATTTTCATTATTTGTTCATCCTATCTTTGTATCTATTATTTAAAACATCATTCCTGAGAAGCAGTCCATAGGTTTCACCTGGGTGCCAGATGTCCATGGCATGCTCACACACACAGGTACCCTTGATTTAGTAAAATAATTAATGATCTAAGAAAACTATTATAAATAACATTACTTATCCCAAGTGTATTTGTGTTTATGTTATTGTACAAATACGCCTAGAAAATAAAAGAATGTGCTCTCAGACTAAGTTGTTAACAAAAGGTATTTTTTACTTTTTTCTGTTACATGCTTTTCTGCATTCCATAAACTTTCCACAATGACAACGTGTGACTTTTGTTATCAGAATATTATTAAGGGAAATTACAATAAGTTGGGGTAGGAGACAGACCTGGCAACTTCCCTTCAACCCCTGTATTTCCTAACTACCTCATTCTTTCCTCTCTCCCCTTCCCATTCCAGAACCCCACCACTATCCGAATGACAAGAGACAATTAGGATGCTCCCATTCTTCCTGAGGCTGTTTCTAGTCTCCTGGGGAAAGAGCTCAGCTCAGACAACATAGACACCCCCACGCAATGGATGGCTAGCTCTTTGCCAGGGGAAGAGTGGAGGGCAGCTCCTGATTGTTTACTCATTTCCATGGTGTAAATGCTCCCAGCATAGCCAATTTCAAGCTACAGACTGATGTCATTGAATGCAGAGTTGGGAAGAGATGCATATTTCATAGTGTTTCCATGCACATACAATGCATGTAAACTCAAAAATATACATTATAGTAAATGTAGAAAAATAATTAGGTAATTTGGGAGTGAAGAGTTTCAAGTAGTTATTACCTTTATTTTAATATAACTTATTGAATCTTAAACTTATATAATTGAAATTTTAATCATAGCTACGTTTAACAACCAGCTTACAAAACTGCTGAAAATTTGATAGTCGGCATTCGCCAGCTGGTACGAGCCAGTTCCAGCACACCACGGGGCAGACCCAAACACAAGGAGACCCACTTTGGGCCCCACACATTGTGGCCTGGGAAGGGAAAGGGGTCCTCCCATGGCTCCAGGACTTCTACCGCTTTTCCCATTCTAGATGGCAAACCCCATCCAGAGACACCACACCCCCCCTAGTGGCTGGAGTACTTCTCTACCCGCGCGTTCCTCCTTTCCTGGATGGGGCGCTCACCCTGCCCCCTCATCCTCAGACGGCTCTTTCTTATGTACCTTGTCCATTTGATCACCCTCCTATTCTATCCCCTTACCAAAAATAAATCAATAAATTTTAGAAAGCACTTGCCCTCGATTCCTCTTTAGAGAGCTCCTCAGGACCTGAAGTTTATCCCACTTTCCCAGGCTTCTCTCCCCTCCTCCCAAGCCCTGACAGCCTCCCAGGAGAGGAGTAGGGGCTGGGAAGTGAAGTCAGGTGAGGCAGAGTTGGCCAGGAGGACCGGCATGGGAGCAGAGCACTGCACAGGGCTTCAGGAAGGCAAGGAGACCAACTGTGAAGGGACATGGCAGGAAGCAAAAGGGGGAAACTCAGTTACCTCATAGGCTGTGTCCGGAGGGCCGTCTTCAGGTCTTCCACGACTTGGTTCCTCATCTCCGTCTCCTCCTCATCAAACGCATACAGACTCTGCATCTGAGGGCCAGCAGGTAGAAGGGGGCAGAAGTCACGCTGGGCTGCCTGTCTCCCAACCCCCTGCACTCCAGCCCAGGTGTGACCCAGGGGCCATGCTTGCCTCAGAAAGGGTGAGGCCTCAGGGAATGGTTTACTGAGACCGAATGTTGGCCCCTGGGAAGACCTAGGTTCTGGGCTGGGACTTCACGTTCCTCATCTGTGCAATGGGGAGAATTACTGGCCCGGTTTATTTCCCAAATTTGTGTGATGCCCAAATGGATTTTAAAATGTTTAAATGGTTGGGGGACTCTGAGATTGCACAGAGGAGGGGTGGATTACCTTAAAATTTCATGAATAACTGGAAAGCTGAACTCCAGTGAGTGGGCAGTAGGGCGCTGGGGAGCAGGAAAAGGCAGTTTGGTGTGTCGGGGGTGGGGGCTGGGGGGATCCCTCTCTGCCTTAGCCTTTCCAGGTGGGGGCAGGGCAGGAGAGGGGCAGCCACTCACCGCAGCCATGGAGTTGATGCGGTCAATGTAATAGTCAGGCCAGCTGGTCGCCAGCTTGTTGGGGTCCTCCTGCTCCTGAAACAAGAAAAAGGATAGCATGGACCAACAGGCAAGGCAGGCCCGTGGCCTGAGATCCTGAGCTTCATTCAATGTCAGCAGAGGGATTCATTTCACAGCTCTGCCCACGTGGGGTGGGCTGGAGGAAATTACATGCTCTCCCAGGCTCCCATTTCTCCCTTGGTGAGATACAGATGATGAACATTGACTCTCATGGCCAGCCAATGACACGGGCAGAAACCATGCCCGTGTATGTACTGTCAGTGAGCAACATGCACCATTTTTAAAAAATTCTTTTCTCTTGTTCTGTTTGCTCAGCTTGTAGTTAATGAAATATAATTTCCTGGCTGTTAAATCTAATTCGAATTTGTGTTTATTTTTATACATCTTTTTACTTTCTCTGATAATCTCATTCTCATATTTTACAAAAGTATTGGTCTGTGACAGTTGGGAAATTTAAAAACTTAGTCTTTCAGGTAGTTCTAGAACACTAATAGAAAACACTTGGCGCATAATAGGCACTCACTAAATAGTAACTTTAGAAAAATAGAGAAATTTCCAAGGGGTTGGGTTTTGAAAAGACTCAGGAGACCCCCTTAGGCCTGTGATTTAATTCCTGGCAAACTCCCGAAGGAGGGGGATGTGCAGCGGGGAGGCAGAGCCCAGATCCGAGGACCTCTGGCCCAGTGCTCAGCCCTCAAGAGACAGGCTCGACTCTTCCCCAAGTAAGGGCAAGAATGATGGGAGTTAAAGAATTATTCATGTTGACTGAAAATCCAGCCTTCTGCAGCCAAATGGATCTGCTTCTGGGCCTCACACCCGTCCTGCTCATTCCTGTTCCTGTGCCCCGGGTCACTTTGGAGGCTCCTCCCCATCTGCTTTCTCCACTGTCCTGCTTCCAAATCGGCATGAACACTTAACCTCCTCCAGACCCTCCCTGACAAACCACCTCTCCACCAGCTGCCAGCGGGCCCTGCAGCTCTCAGCTCCATCCACTCGATGTTTTCTATTTCGTTTCACAAAATACAAATTTTAGACCAGTAGGAAAGCTGCTTTGTTTGGGTCTTTATGACTTCACATGGTTAAATGTTAAATTTAACCATGGTTATACGTGTTAAATTCTCCATGACTGAAGGCCAAACATTCTGTCTTCTGCCTTGGGGCGGGGAATCAGCACCAAAAACAATTGCGTCGGCAAGCACATCCTTTCCTGCACTTGCTGGCTCATCGTTTACCCGTGCCATGTGCACTGAATGGGGACCTACTAGATGCCAATCACCATACTGAGCTCTGTAGGTACGGAGTACGGACTAAAGAGTCATGGTCTCTGCCTTCCATGTACTGCCAGTCCAGTACCAGAGAAAGGGTGGTCAATGTTCTACGGTAGAGCTGCCCATAGCAGACCTTGGAGGGTGATCCATCCAACACAGAAAGCTGTAGGGGGTGGGGGTGAGTGGTCTAAGAACACTAGGTTATTAAAGAGTATTACAGCTAAGACAGGTGGGGAGGGTGTTATAGACAGAGGAAGTGCCATGTGGGAAGGCGGAAGGGTGTGAAAGTGTGTGGGGAAATTACAGTTTGGTTTGGAAGGCAGTAAGAGATGCCCTTGTATTTTAATAATTTTTTTTTTTTTTTTTTTGAGACGGAGTTTCACTCTTGTTGCCCAGGCTGGAGTGCAATGGCATGATCTCAGCTCACCACAATCACTTCCTGCTGGATTCAAGTGATTCTCCTGCCTCCGCCTCCTAAGTAGCTGGGATTACAGGCATGTGCCACCATGCCTGGCTAGTTCTGTTTTTTTTTTTTTTTTTTTTTATGGTAGAGATGGGGTTTCTCTATGTTGGTCAGGCTGGCCTCGAACTCCTGACCTCAGATAATCCACCCACCTCAGCCTCCCAAGGTGCTGGGATTACAGGCATGAGCCACCATGCCTGGCCCTTTTTTTTTTTTTTTTTTTTCCCAGTTGTAGAAGAGACCAACTTAAGGGAACTCCATAGTAAATCAATTTGGAAAATGGAGAATCATGAGATATGATTAATTACTCCTGAAATTTCTTTCCTTCCTTCTTTCCATGATTTGAGCTTTTTAAAGACCTGCTTTTCTCACAATGAGATGCATAAACACAGAATGTTATATTCTGCAGGTGCTTAATAAAGCGTGCATTGAGTATACTAGACAATGGCTTATAGTGTGTGCAGCCCATGCCTCTTGTCACAGGTCCTCAGCCTCTAGCACTATCCTCCCCAGCAGTCCCAGGTTCTAGCAATGGGCAGCCACTCGCCATAACTGACTGGATGGGCTATGGGTGAGTCTTGACTCTCTAGGCCTTCTTGGCCTCATCTGTAAAATAAAGAATGAGACTGCATCAACACTGGGTTGTTTTCCAGGTTCCTGCAACTCTGAAATGGTGTATATTTGAATCCTCCAACATTATAAGGTCAGTCTGGCTCAATGTGGAGCCCTGGGGATGGGATAAATGTCTTCAGCAGGAAGAGTAAGAGAAGAGCTATGAGTGGGCACAGGAGCACGGAGAAGACATGGCTCAGACTCTGCCCAGACCTTCCTGTCTCCTCCCAGGAGGGAGGGAGCCTGAGCCTCAGGCATGGGAGTACCCAGGCTCTGGTCCCCAAACACCAAAGCAATGTAGGAGGGCAGAAGAACAAGTTTTAGGCTTGGGACTCGAGTCTGAAAACTGGGAGGGTGGAGGGGAGAGGAGGAAAGTAGGCCATGAAAAGAAAATTCAGGAGTAAAAGAAACAGACTAAAATAGAAAGGGGGAAAGAGAGAGACATAGAGACAGAGGCAAGCTGAAGAAACACAGAGACGGAGACAGCAGAAAGAAGAATGCACAGCCACTGGGGAAGCAGAAGGGAGGACATCAAGTCCAATTAAGCTGGACTGGAGCCCAGCGTACCCCTTTCTAGGGAGGGCCACAGCAGGAGGCTAACAGCATCTTTGAACGAGCGAGAGGAGAGGGAGGATATGCTGAGGAGGACAAGGACTGATGTGTGAGCCCTAGCCTGGGACAGGGTGGAGGCTAAAGATCCAAAAGAGGACACCCCTGTCCCCCAAACTGATTTCTTATAGCAAAGCTGCTCCAGGCATGGTCCAGGAGGCCCACCCTCCATGCCTGGGAGCAGGCACGAGAGAGTCCAGACTCTGCTTCTTTGTCTCTCTCCCAGCCAGCCCCAGTCCTGGAATGCAGCAGGTCCTGCTTAAAGGGTGTTTGAAAAAGAGAATCCTATTTCTGTGAGTGTAAGCTCCAGAAGAGCAGAATTTCCTTTTTCTATTTTATTCACTGTTATTCCTCCAACACCTAGAACAGTGCTGGCACGTAATAAACATCAGGTGAATGGATGGGCAGGCAAGGCAGCAAGAGCCACCCCATGCCAGGGACCCTGAGATGTGGCCGGAAGGGTCAGAGACGGCACCTTCTTCTTGCTGCAGTAGATCTGCCATTTCTTCTCAGGGGGCAGTGCAAACATAGCCTCCCGGTTTTTGTCAGTGAGATCCAATTCATCCTGCAAAGACAAGAAAAAGTATGTCTGACACTAGGGATGGTTAAGATTAGAACAGTCAGCCCTGCAGAAAATTAGAATTCCCCCAGATCAGGTCCTCAGCCTACTATCTTCCTCCCAAAGAGCATCAAAGATATGATAGGGCATTTCTTTTTCTGTGAGAAATATAGCCCCATCCCCTTGCCTCAACCAGCCCTGTGTGTCTTCCATTGCACTCCCTTTACTTCCTGTCCACCCCCAACCTTGTCTCTGCAAATCCACCCTCCTGCTTCAGGTCACCCTGTTCCCTGCGCGTCTCCTGCATTGCTTTGCTAGCTCCTGATCCTCTCGCCCCACGGTTTCTTGTCTTCCATCCCTTGTGATTCTTAAGCTTGTGGACACCATAATACAAAGCCTAACAAAGAAGGGAGTTGTCTGCAGATCTAGTTCTGCCTCTCTCCAATTCTCGTCCCATCCTTCAGGTCTACCTGCCCTGCAAATCTCTCCCCTAGACATTCTCTGGCTCCCCCAAACTCAGCATGGGCCCTAGCACGGGCTGGAGAGAGCTGGTGAGGACAAGGGGCTAATCAGAGTAGGATGGGCAAGCCATGCCTAGGGAGGCATTGATCTGCTTCCGAGGGAGGGAGTGCCTGCTGGAGGCAGCCCCTCCCACTGCAGGACCACCAAGAGAAGGCGCTGGGCTCCATCAGGCTAGTCCAAACTTTCCAAGGAGCAAACTGGAACTTTATGAGGTCATATTTGGGGTAATTCCTAGGTATTTTGGGGTGAATTTAAAGGTTTTGCTGTGCTAGGCGGCCCCTGAAAATCTTTTGAAGCTGCTTCTCCTATCATGCATGAGCAATGCCTAATGCTAATCAAGGGCTAATCAAAGGACTAGTTATTGAGCCATGGAGAACATTGTGTGCTTTTTTTAAAAATCAAAAGCAAAAATTGCATTAAGCATAAATTAAGCATAACAAAGCATAATAGTACTAACCTTTATATTTTCAAATACAATAAACAGTGAAAACAATATCTAAGGAAGTATAATAGTCTTAAATTTTGATATCTGTAATCTTTTCCCTATACTTTTATTCAAGGGAGAATATTAAGACTTTCTTCTCTCACCTAGATCAGAACTGCCTAATAGAAAGATAACAGGGGCCACATATATTTTCAAATTTTTCTAGTCACGTTAAAAACTTTAAAAGAAATAGGTGAAGTCAATAGTACATTTTATTGAAACCAGTAAATCTAAAATATAATCATTTAAACATATAATCATGTAGAAAATTAATAATGAGATATTTTACATTCCTTTTTTCACACTAAGTCTTCAAAATCTGGTGTGCATTTTACAGTTACAGTTCATCTCAATTCAGATGAGCCAGTAGCCCCATCTGGCCAAGGACTGCCATTCAGACAGCACAGACAAGGGATATTTGAAATAATACCCATTAGTTCACCTGCCTCTGGAACTCAAGACTCCTGCAGATTTAATCCCATACAAAAGTTCTTCCCTAGAATTGCTCTCTAGGTATCCCAGGAAGTTCTTTGTCAAAATTCCCAGAATGCTGTTTGAGGTTTCTTTTCCACGATCAAAATCAGAAATAAAAGAAAAAGGAGAGTTATATGCACCTTACATTTCCCAACACAAACTCTGCACCTCTTCAACCTCTGTGCCTTTGCTTACACAGTGAGTCCTGCCTGGACAGGCCTCCATACCCACTCACACTAAGGACCTGGTCTAATTCCTAGGGCACAGTGTCAGCCTCCTCCCGCAAGCCTTCAGTAGACCTTCCCAGGTAAGAAGAATCTCTCCCTTCCTGAACTACAGAGCAGTTCCACATGAGCTTGTATTCAGGTTATTGATGTACTTGTCTTTTCCAGCCAGTGGTCTCTATCTCTAAATCAATGGTAGTTTTGCTCAGCCCGGGCAGCATATAACTGCTGACTGCTTGCTTCTTATTAAACCTCACTTCCCTGGTTTCTTCAGCAACTACCCTCCTGAGCAGTCTCTCCTGTTTCACCCTATGTTCTGCGTGGGCTTCCTTGATGACTTCTCCTCTTCTATCCTACCTTTAAATGAAGTCCCTCAGGGCACCGTCCTCCCTCACCTGTTCCCCAGGACTCAGCTATTATCTCAGACTCTCTCAAACTTGTACCCCTAGGCGAACAGTTTCCTGAACTCCAGACCCTGGGGCCCAATTGTCTCCAGTATGTCTCCACTCTGATGTACTTACGTAGAGCTACTACGTCCCAGGCACTGTTCTAAGTGTGTAATGTTTATTCATTTGTTTATAACTTATAACAACTCGTTTTACAGATAAGGAAACTGATGTACAGAAAGAATGTGTGAATTGAATTCATCATCCCAGCCCCCTAAACTTGACTCTCCTCCAGTATATCCTATCCAGTCCAGGGTCCCAACATCCATCCAATACTTCATGTCAGAAACCGGGGGGTTCTTTGATTCCTACTCACTCTTTGATCCTACCAAGTCCTATTATCTTTCCTCCTAAATAGCTCTTGAATCTGTCCACTTCTCTCCATCCTCACTGCTAATACTTCAGTCTAAGGCACCCTTCTCTCTAACCTGTAGGATTAGGAGGCAAAAGCCTCCAAATGGTCAACCCAGAACCCTTCTTTAGCAGAGCACCTTGCATGGTCTTTTAGAAAAGTGATCAGATCACCTCAAATCCCTGCTTAAAATCTTCCATGACTTTCCACTGCCCTTAGGGTTTAATCCAAAAACTTTAGTTCTTCTGGTCTTCATTGCGTACCCCAAAAGGACCCAGCTTCTGACTTGACACTCACATATACCGTTTCTTCTGCAGTCATTGTCCTGAACCTCATTCACTTATCATGTCGGTGAAAATGTCACTGCTTACAGGGGCCATTGTGACTTCTCCCAGTCTAGAATACAGCTTCCTGCTAGGCACTCCCATGCCCCCACCCCCCGAATGCTCCCTGTCCTAGCACTCATCACACTTGTCTCTGCTCCTCAAGATCAGTCTTCCCTACTAGGTTTTCACATTCTTGGAGGCAGGGGAGGTCTCTGGTGGCTCATCACTACATCCCTAGGACCCCCATACAGCCCAGCACCCAGCAGTCTCTCCAAGAAATATTATTCACTTGTTTGAGAGATACCTGATGCTATTCTTCTTGCAGGCAAGACTTGTCTGACTCACCCTTGTTTTTGCTAAAGTGCCATGCAAGGGTCCCTGTCCTGAAGATGCCCAGTAAATATCTGTTGAATAAAAGAGCCAAAGAAAGGAACACTGCCCATCACATCCTTCTTTCAAAACTCACTCTACTCAAGAAAACATCCCTGACTAACACAGATCAGGCTCCAGATATTATTCTACACTAGCAAACACTTTGTCCGCCACCACTTGCCCCATCCAGAGGAAAGCTAAAAATCGGGAAACAGTGAGTTTTCCTAAACCTGATGTGACAAGGAAGCTGGACAACTTTTTCATATAACCTGCATAATCTCATCTTACAGGGACCCTGTCATTGAAAGAGCTGGATTGGTTTAACCAGGTATATTTATTAGCAAATACAAGTATAAAACTACATTCCAACCACATGGCATTCTTTCTTTTTTTTCTTTTTTTCTTTTATTTTTTTTTTTTGAGATGGAGTCTCGCTCTGTCGCCCAGGCTGGAGTTGCAGTGCGCGGATCTACAGCTCACTGGCAAGCTGCCCGCCTCCGGGTTCACGCCATTCTCCTGCCTCAGCTCCCGAGCAGCTGGGACTACAGGCGCCCGCCACCTCGCCGCTAGTTTTTTTTTTTTTTTGTATTTTTTTAGTAGAGAACGGGATTTCACCAGGTTAGCCAGGATGGTCTCGATCTCCTGACCTCGTGATCCGCCCGCCTCGGCCTCCCAAAAGTGCTGGGATTACAGGCTTGAGCCACCGCGCCCGGCCGCATTCTTTCTTTTACTGGCTTACTAATGGCCCACCACAGAATGAGGTGACCAAGAGCTAATGGTAGATGAACTTGTACTTATGGCTCTTTACCAGGTCTGGACTCCGTGCGTGTGCAGACTTTGTCTCACCACCTCCAAAGAGAGAAGAAATCATGCTTCTTTCCTAGTCTATTTGTGGCCATGGTATAAAGCTGCACACATAGGGGCTTCTCACAAGGGCAGTCTGAAGGCTGGCCTGGGCAGGCACTGCAGAGTCAGCACAGGCTGGTCCTGGTGTGAATGGCAGAGCTTCCACCTGCCCCTTGTTAGGCACAGCATATAATCATCCCAGGCCTGAACTGGGACCCCATGCATGACATAGACATTTCCACCTCCATGTTCCTAGCCAATCATCCCCTGTTCCGAGGTGCCCAGTGTCTGCCCACAGAATCCCACTATGTCTCTTCTTTGTGTCTTGGACATTAAAAGATCCCAGGGAAACTCCAAGGATCAGAAGAGAGAAAGGCGCCAAATGTTCTGATGTTCTTTGAGATGTCTCACCATCTTAGTTTGCAAAGCCCAGAGCTGCCCCTTCCTATGATAACCTAACTACTGCACCCTGTGGTCTACAATCCAATGCAGAGAGGAGGTAGGACCATTCTTCTGGGCCACACTTTATGCTGTCCATCCCAGTGAGAGATTCTGGTTCCCCAACATAGCTGAAGTGTCCTGGGGGCCTACCTCCTCCCAAGAGGAGTTTTGAGAGATGGAGACCCCAGGACAGGTGCCCTGCCCTCTGTCCAGTTCTGCTTGTCCATCCACCCTCCTCTCCATTGTCACTGTCCCTCCCCACCCTCTCACTGACCACCAGCTCTGCAAAGCGGATGTTGAGCTCCTCTGCGTTTGGGATGGGGCTGGAGAACTCCATGAACTGCAGAGGGTGGTTGTCCCGGAGGTTGATTTCGGGGATGTCACTGCCCCCGAAGCAGCACAGGAAGCCCAGGCCATGGCGGCTCCTCTTCCGGGGGGCCATGGTCACTGCAGGCCAGGGGGTGTCAGCAGGCAGATGCCCTAGGTCCTCATTGTGATCTGAACAGGAGGAGACAACACAGGGTAGTCAGGCATCAGTCAGATAGGCTGAGCAGAGGTCACTCTGCCTTCATAACCTCTGTCCCACAGGCTACCGGGAGCCCTCAACTCAATAGCAAAGCCCTTCCGCCCTTCCTCCCACAGCATCCCTCTGTTCCCTCCAGCTCTTTCCACCTGGAGGTATTTACGTATCCTCCCCACCATGCCCTCTGAGGTTACCTGCCAAGACACTTTCACATTCCCCTTCCTTGCCCTCAGAGAAGGTCAAAGGCTGGGGTCACTGAATGTGACTTCCATGTGGCCAGAGCGGACTTTCCATGAATGTGTAGACGGGATCCTACTCCCTGTCTTAAGATCAGCTTCCAGCAAGGCTCATCTACTCACTTGATTCATTTCCAGGCCTGGGGATAACTGATTTAAAGGCATGGTCCCATGTGGAGGAAAGGGTTGAAGAAGGCTGGCAGAGGGAACAGTGAGCTAATGATGTGGCATAGCTTCTAGAGCCTGGGTCTCCAGAGGAAGAGAGGACGGAAAGCTACAGAGGCTTGTAGAGTTTTCTGCTCAGTCTTCTGTACCCTGGCATGTTTGGATGAATGTGAAATAGCAATAGGCAGTGGTTCACTGATCCTTCTAGAAGGAGGTGGCCAGTTGTCCTCAGAGAGTTACCCAGGGGAGTCAGAGTGAAGCCTAGGTACAGAAATAGGACTGATCATTGGAATGGTATTTGACATCTGCTCAGATTTTCAGAAGAAATCTGCTCAGATTTTCTTTTTCATACCAACCAAGAAGAGAGGACACTGTTCTGTCCAGAGACCAGAACTGATGGACATTTAACAGCTGAGTAGTCATTGGAACAGAAAGGGTTAAGTCTTTGGCTCGCCCCTAGGAAAGCCTAGGTCAATGATGACCAGCTTGAGAAAGAACACTACCCCTGTCATTGACGCCACATGGCCTCTAGATCAATTCAATCCAACAACCAGGACACAGGCCTCCTGAGAGGCAGAACCATCCTCAACCACTGGTTCCTGACAACCTAGGGGGGTTCAGTAGAGAGGCCAAAGCTTATGCACCAAACTGCTACCCAGCCGGATTCTCCCCAGCCCATACTTACAGATCTTAATTTTTTTGGACATAAATATGGAATTCTGTTTTTATCCCTGTTGAATATCATTGGTTTGCAGTCAAGATACTTTAGAATTTTGATTCTTAGCTATTTCTCCTGGACTCAGATTATTAACAGATTAGAATGCCTCTGTAGTCATCACGCACATCATTGCTAAAAATGTTGACCACATCAAAGACACAGACCCTAATGACACAACAAGCTGATCTAGGAATGCCAGGGAACTTTCATTAATACGCTCAGGGGACAGTCTTTCAACCAACTCTAAATCTATGTAACTATGCTCTCATCTAGCCCTCTTTTCTATAAAGTCAACATGAGAGATTTCTCCTAAAGCCCTGTAGAACTCAAGATATGCTAAATCTATGACACTCCTTTGAACCAAGCTCTAGAATCTTATCAAAAGAGAGAACAAGATAAATGTGGCATAATTTGTTCCTAGGGAACTCAGGGTAACTTCTAGAGAACACTGCTTTATTTCCTAAGTCCTAGCTAATAATTTAGTATAATCTCATCTGGCCTCTCACACATCATGCCCTATTTTAACTGTCATTCTAGAATTTTTTTACCAGCTCTATTTTATCTTTCTTTATAAAGTTTGTGACAGGCTTTTTAATAGGCCCAGAAAAGCCTCAATACATTATGGAAGATTGCCCTTGTGTTATTGGTTATCTTTTTGCTACTGGCTCTCATAAATATAGTGAGGGCTCCTAGAGGGCAAGGACTGTGTCTCCTGCTTCTTTGACAGCCATCCCCATTTCTGTAGCCAATAAAAGCCTTGTGCTTCGTGGGGAGTCAATAAATATTTCTTGACCAATTGGGAAATGACCTGTTCTCATGGAAAAGGAGGAAAGAAGGGTCCTTATTAATCAGTCAAAAAATATTGATGGAAATATCAACTACTAGCAATTGATAAGCACTCAAAAACGTTTGTAAGGAAAAATAGAACCGTCCTAGAGGCTGAGGGAGGAGAAGCAGCCAGCAGGCCAGCACAGCAATCCATGGACATGGTGGCAAAGACCTGGAGTAGACTAGCGTTAGAGTAAAACAGAGAGGAAGGGGGACTTTGGGGTTCCTCTGGGATTTGATAGCCAATGGCAAAGAGTGGGTAAGACAAAGCCCTGGTCTCTGACCATTAGGGTTAGTAAAGCACTAACTCTGCAGGCAGGTAGGGGTGGAATCCCTGTGGGTGCCCTGCCCATTGTCAAGTGTGGGATAATCACATGGAATGCAGACCAGATCCCCTTGATTCCATCAGCCTCCAAAACGCAGCTGCAGCTGGCAAGCAAGACTGCTTTGTTCGGGGCACAAGGCATGGGAAGGGAGCTCCGAGAGGCGGTGGGGAGGCTGGGCTGACAGCACCACGGGGTTCTAGGGAGGGACAAGGAGAACGTGTGACCCCTCTTCCTGCCTTTACTTCCCCAGCTTCTTGTTCCCTAGTCTCCCTCTTACCTTTCTTGGCTGTACCAGAGGAATCAGGCATGGGGGCAGGGGTGGCATATAGCTGGTACACCTTGGCACAGTCTTACATCAGCTGTTTACAGCCATGATTGCTCTGACTGGCCAAAGCCTGTGCCATACCTGTTGTTAAATATTAGAGCATCTTCCCTGACCTCGGGAGAGGAGAAGTAGACACAGACCCTGCGAACAGGAAGGACCATCCCCTGAGAGAAGGACCTCATGCACTCAGGGGGCTGCTGCATATGTGTCTGAGGGGCTGTGTGTGTGACAGCGCCCAAGTATGTTTATGTTCCTGAGGACAATGCCCTCCCAACCAAACCCTAGGTCTTTCCTCGCCTCCCTTTTTTTTTTTTCTTGAGGTGGAGTCTCGCTCTGTTGCCCAGTCTGGAGTGCAGTGGCGCAATCTTGGCTCACTGCAAGCTCCGCCTCCCGGGTTCATGCCATCCTCCTGCCTCAGCCTCCCGAGTAGCTGGGACTACAGGCACCCGCCACCACACCTGGCTAATTTTTTGTAGTTTTAGTAGAGACGGGGTTTCGCCGTGTTAACCAGGGTGGTCTCGATCTCCTGACCTCGTGATCTGCCCGTCTTACCCTCCCAAAGTGCTGGGATTACAGGTGTGAGCCACCATGCCCGGCCCTCTTGCCTCCCTTTCTTAAGTCCCCATCTGAACATCCAAGACTAAAATCACAGGCTCTCTGCCGAAAGAGGCCTCAGAAATCATGTCACTTCATGGTAGAGATCCAAAAACCGAGGTCCAAAGAGGAATTGTCTTATCTGAGGTCACAGGCCTAGGAATAGAGCTGGGATTAAAACCCAGGACTCCAGCAGCCAGGCTGTGGTCCGGTCATTGCCCCAGCAGACCTTGTCTTCTCCGTCAATGGGCCTTTTTTCTTACCTTGCCTTCGGCTCCCCCATAGCCATAGCCTCCCTCTGCTAGAGCAGATCAGTCTCTACAGCTTAGTTTAGAAATCCCTCTAGAGAGCAGGAGAGGTTTACAGAAGCTCCAAAGGCCGCCTCCTACTCCTCATCAGTAGGAGCTGCTTCCATCGTCTGAACCCTAATTCCTGACCCGCTCCTGCTCTGACACCTCTTTCACTCCAGCTTCCTAGTGGCAGGGCGGGGTGGGGAGCAGAGGCTTTGAAGTCAGGAGACCGGGATTTCCCCACCTTTGTTTTCTCAGCTGGTGCTGGTGAGTACTCTTCACCTCTCGAAGCCCCAGTTTCCTCATCTGTGACACCTTGATCACAGGGTCTTCCTCATTGGGTTTCAGTGAGGTGTACAGAAAGCAAGAGAAGTGAAATGCCTAGAGCACACTGGGCGACAGTAGAGGAAGCGCCACCCTGCAGCAGGCCTCCATTCCCATCATCGCCAGCAATGTGAGATTCGCCCTGCCCACAGCCTGCAACCCTCAGCGCTTCTCCAGGCAACGATGGGGTGACTGACACCTGGCATTCTGGGAATTTGCCTGGCCAGATTTATGAAGTCACCCGGCTCTGCCTTCCTCTAGGCCAGAGGAGCTGGGCTTTTCCCTGGGCTCTGAGCTATCTCTAGGTAGAAAGATAAGCAAATCTTCATCACTGACCCTGGACAGGGAGAGGAGAAGGTGAAGTGGCCACAGGAATTCATTTCTGCAAAATCTCTTTAGAAGAGGAACAACGAGGTTTCCACCTTGAAGGAGAACTGAGAAGCAGTTTGGAGAAAAGGGGATGCAAAGACAGAAGGAAACCCACTGGACTTGAACTCAGCCAGAGACATTTCAGCTGCCCCTACCTCCACACACTTTTCTCTCCATGAAAACTTCCCCAGTGCCAGCAGCTCCCTGCCCTCCACATCCTGTCTCCTTGCTCCCTCCCCTCTTCCTGTGGGGACAAGTTCTCCTCAGGACTGTTAGTCCCCAAGCACAGACCAACTGGCCTAAGACACCAAACCATAGGTCACAGCCAGTTAAGCAACGCCTCCTGTGGCTCCAGCCTGACTGCACCCATCACCGTCACAGTCCTTCTAGTTGTAGCAAAAGCACATTGCCTGTCCCATTTCTGTCACTCACCAGCAGGGGTTCAGCAGGCCATGGTGGTAGTCTCTCTGGGCCTCAGTTTCCTTTCTGTGCAATGGCAGGGTTTAACTGAAGACCTCCAAGGACTTTACCAGCTCTGACCTTTCACACTGCCTGCGCAATCCTATTCCCGAAGGCTTCCCAAGGGGCTCTCCTCTGCCTGTACTGAGCACTTCCCCCACATTGCTCTCCGAGCCAGGAAGGACTTCCTACCACTTGAGCTCATTCCTTCCATTTGGTTGGTAAAGATGCAATCCTAGCCCTTACCCTCAAACCCTAACCCCTAGCCACTGCAACACACCAGCTTTTACATTTCAGGACTTCAAAAGTCCCATATCATCAGTGTTTATCCCTCAGTCTTAATAGAAGCAGAATAATACTAACACTTGAGACTTTCCTATGTGCCAGAAACTGACTATCGACATTTTATTCCCCCAACAACTCTCTGAGATAGTTGGCTTCATTTTAAAGAACTTACGGAGAAAAAACCCAAAAATGCAAAAACAAAAACAAAAGCCACAAAAACTGTGGTTCAGAGTGGTTAAGTAGCTTGCCTAAGGTCACACAGCTAGTTAGGGACATAGCTAGGATTCAAACCCAGGACTGTCTGACTCTAAAGTGGTAAGCCACTAAGCCATAAGGCACATGTCCAGAAAGTATCCTAAGCTGAGATCTGCTCAGAGTTTTCTCAAATGTTATAGATTGATATTCAATAATTCATGATTCTGCATTTCCTGTGAGCTGGGCCAGGTGTTTTCACAGCTGGGCAACGTCATTTCAGCTTCACAATGACCTTGTGAGGTGGTTATTATCCCCTCTTACAGATAAAAATATTGAGGCTTCAGGAGCTGTTACATGGCTTGGTCTATGACACCCAGCTGCTAAGAGACAGAGCTAGGACTCACAAGTAAGTATTCTCACTCTAAGCCTAGTGGTCTTGTCACAGAACCAAAGCTGACTTATGAACCCCTCCTCTAGCTCTTGGGGACAATGCTATTGCTTTGGGACATTCAAATTGCCTCCTATCAAACTGCCTCTTTTCCTACCTTCAGACACAGGGGTAACAGGACAAGGACATGGTATTGACTCTCCCTGGCCACTTCCAAGGTACCTACTGGGAACCAGGTACTATACTGATAATTTTCTGCATTATCTCATTTATTCTCCCAACCCTACAATGATATCACAATCCCTTCTTACTGGTGACGACATTAAGAGTCTCAAAGGTCAGGCAAGTTGCCCAAAGACCAAGTTTTAGAAGTGCAAGGGCTGGGTTTGAGGACAGTAGTGTCTCATTCAAACGAATGTGCTTTTGACCAGCTTCTAGCCATGTGTTGACCATTGACCTGTGGTGAGGACCCAGGAGTAAACAAGATGTGATTCCTTTCCTAAAGGTCTCCTTCTAGTAGGGGAGCAAGGGGAGTCTAGACAGTGACAACAAAGAGAGAGTGAGGTGTTTGGGCAGCCCTGAGAAGGGGGACCTGGTCCAGCCTGGGAGTTAGGGGGTAAAGGGGAAGTCAGGGCAGGCTTCCAGGAGAAGCGGACTTTGAGCCAGCCTTGAAAGAGAGGAAAGAATCAAGGAAGGGTGCAAGAGGAGGGAAAAGGCACTCTAGGCAAGGAAAACGGCATAAGCAGAGGCACAGAAGGAAGAGCATGGCATGTGTGAGCCCAGAGTCCTGATCAGCGGCTTCATCCTCTGCTGGCTAAATCAATAGGCAAAGCAAATGGAAAGGGTATGCGAGTATCCTGGTTTGATAACAGAGCTGCAAGCGTGCTGGGGAGCCTGCTCCTTTGCCCTTCTCTCCCCACCAGGTCCCCTGGGGCTGGGGCTGGGAATGGGGCCCAGAGCTTCCCAGAGCTGCTGCATGGAACATAAGGAATGTAAACAATTTCCTGCTCCACAGGCGGACATTGCTCCCTATACGCTGACCCTCCACGTGCATGTGCTGCTGGGAGTCACCCAGGAAGGGGCCCCAAGCCCGGCTTGGGGCCTGGCTCCCAAAGGAAGAATCTATGCTTTTCCATCCCATGTCCCAAATGACACTACCAGACCCTCTGCCCACCCATCTCCCCACTGCCAACCTACACCACACCTGCTTCCACCCCAAGCCTCTGCAGACCATCTCCTCAAGCTGGTGGACAGCAAGCAGGCCTGGGGGTTCCTCTTAGCTCTAATCCATCCACTTCCTCCCTGAAGCTGCTGAATTATCATCGCCCAACTCTACCCTACACATTCGGCTGAATTCTGTTCAGTTGACATCAGCTCTAACCAGGTGACTTCAAACAAGTTACTTGGCCTCTCTGAGCCTCAGTTTCTTCAGCCATAAAACAGGGGAAATATAATAGTACATAATTCATAGGGTTGTCAGGAGGATTAAATTAGTTAATATTTGTAAAGCATTTGGAATACAGCCTAGTAAAAGTAAAGACTATTAATAGCTATACAGATAAGCTGCTGCTCTACTTGTGAAGATACCTGAATGACGGTATTACAGAGTTTTCTTTCTGTAATTTCATCAGTTTTACATATTAGTATAGGGCTTGGCAGATATTACAGGGGCCATGTTCAGCCCACAGACTGTTTTTGTAAACACAGTTTTATTGGAACAGTCATGCGCATTCATTTAATTATTGACTACGGCTACTAACATGCAACAGAGACCGTATGGCCCACAAAGCCAAAAACACTTACTATCTGGCCCCTTACAGAAAGACTGCCAATTCCTGGATTACTGCATCGATTCCTATGCAACTGACAATATCCAATTATTTTTAGCCATAAAAACACCGATTTCATATGATTCCACATATCATACTGGCTCCTCACTTGTACTGTCTGACCCACCGAGAGTGCTGCCCTCTAAATCCAGTGATTCCAACCATAATAAAGATATATTTATTGAGCACCTACCATGTTCGAGGTTTTTCTCAAACTTTCATCTTCCCTTTTTACAGACGAAGAAACTTGAGGCTCAGAAGGACGCTAGGTGTGAACCTAGGAACTCAAACCAGGTCTCCAGACGCCACTGTTGCCCTGAACAATCTGACTGACTTGTACTGTGAGCCTCGGGCAGGGCTGGGGGAGAGACAAGGAGCACTTTCAAAAATAAGCACACGCTGTTTCCAGAATTGGGGGAGCTTTTCTTAGCAGTCGCCTAAATTACAGTTTCCCCCTAGACTCTGGGAAAGGCAAAGAAAGCAAAAGTAAATTCTCTCAGCCTCTGAGTCCCCTCTGTGCAGGCCTAGGGGTGGGAGACACAGGGAGGCGTCGCTGAGACCCGAGAAGAGGAAGGAGAGAAAGGAACGTCTTTCCGGAAAAGTGAAACTGAAAATCCCTCAAAGTGACATTTCTCAAACTTGGGGGTGAGGGTGGGAGTTGAGGATTTTCCAACTGTTTTTCTCATTTTGAGAAATGATAAAGAGAATAAAGGTTTCTTTGACTCACTAGGGCACTAAACAAGCAGATGATAGTTCTCCAAGGTCATGGTCAAACCTTCATTCATTCATTCATTCATTCATTCATCCACCCACCCACCCACCGAGTAAATGCCATGTATAAAGCAATGTTCTGGGTGTCTTATATGAGCCTGACATCAGATCCTAGGATGCAAGGGAGGCAAGGAGGTGCGGCTCTAGGCCCTGGGACTGTAGGTGGGGAAGAGTGACTTCTGGCTGGGAGGATCTGGAACATTCACCAGAGGAACTGTCATCGAAGCTGGGCCTCAGAAGAAGGGAGGGCGTCAGCACATGCCAGGGGCTCGGGGGGTGTCCAGGAAAGCATTCTCAACAAGTGGCATGCCAGAGTGAGAACCTGGCACCAACGACAGCCCAAATGAATGAGAAGCTCTACCAGGGTGGTTCCCACTGCACCTCTCAGGGCTCAAAGAGGTACAGTGGGAACCAAAACTACAGCCAGAAAAAGGAGGGCATTGAGCGCCAGAGGAAGAAGGAAGAAGACATTGGAGAGTGTGTGGCTTGTGGCTGATTAGTTCCTTGGCTTATGGTAGAGGAGAGCGTTTGTGAGGTCTGAAATTAGAAGAGACATTTCTGGTGGCACTGTATGGGGTGGGAAGACAGGAGGGAGAAGTGGAAGAGGGGAAGAGTTAGGAGGCAAGTCTGTGCATCTGGGTAGAAGAGAATGAGACCCTGAACTGCCAAGAATAGAGAAGAAGAGGTGGATGCTGGCGGTGCCATGGAGGGGTGCGGGCGCGCGAGTAAGAGGATGAGAGGCTGGCCATACAGAGCAAGGACCTGGGCTGACGATGAACCTGGGGAGCATAGCTTGCTCTCTGGGCAACAGCTACGAAGTGAAAGAGAAGGAATTTTAGCGCCCATGTCTCTGCTACCCATTAGCACCGGAAGTCTGGGGCTCCTGGCCAAAAGGAAATCACCCTACACAGGAGAACCCAAGGCCTCGCCCCCTCTGCTTCCAGAAGCCAAGCCCCTCCTCTGGCTCACACAGACGGGGCTGCTGTTACTGAAAGGCGCAGGAAAGGAGCCTCCAGTTTTCCTCTGTGCTCCACTCCCAGCTCTCCTACCAGAGCAACCCATCACTGAGGCCTCAGCACCGTTCCACAGCCCAGAACTGGGAGAAGCCCCCACTGGCTGCTACTCCTGATCCTCTCTCCCAGGGTCCCAGCACAAAAAGCATTCTGTCACTCTTGAGGGAAGGACCTCGAGGTTCTGTCAGGCCAACTCCGCCCTAGAAACCTAGCGGGGCCTGTGCACATGGCCCCACCTGGCCCCCGGGGCTGCGCCTTCTGCAGTACAAGGTGACCTTCCTGCCTTTCTACAGAAAGGCCCCTGCTCCTGCCTCAGGACCCACAGGCACAGTCCATCTCCTCTGGGAGGGCAGATTGGGATGGGGCAGTGACTAGGGGGTAACTAGGGAGTAGGATGGGAGCTGAGCCAACCCCTGAAAGGCAAATGTCGTTGAAAATATAGATCCAGGGTGACTCCTTTTCTCCTCCTAAATTTTGTGTGTACAATTTCACCACTTTATTCATACCTTCAAGCAAAACTTCGTCGAGTCCCTAAGTACCGTGCTCTTAGCTGTGAAAATGTATAATAAGCATAAGTTCAGTCTGGTTGGGAAGGGACACAAATAAAATAAAGTGTGGACATGGTTATGATAAGGGAAGTACACAGGTTTGAGTCTGAGGAATGTCTGCAGAACTGCATCCCAGCGGGGGTTCTGGTCCACCCTAAACCCTCTGCTCATAAACATGGTTTAGAGGGGGCATCGTAGAGTGGAATGAGGGCTGGGAATACTCAGAGATGCTACCAAAGATCAAGAACAGAAGCCCAACCAAGGGTTATTGATGCCATAGGAGATTGCAAGCACCTCGGGCAAGAGAACATGAGTACTTTGGGCCTCATCTGTAAATGAGCCAGTCAAACTACGTATTGTCTAGGAGTTTCTTCTACCCCTGTCACTAGGATTTGTGTCAGACAGTACATGAGGTGTTAAATGATGCTGTTTGAATTGAATCCTATCCTATGAGCTCCCTAAAGGAGCTCATTCATTCATCTGCTCATTCATTCATCCGACCATCATTGATTTTTAACACCTACTCTATGCCCGGCACTGCTCTCGGGGCTGGGTACATGCAGGCAAACTCATCAGACACAGCTCCTGCCCTCACAGAGCTGTGGTCTCCCAAGCTCAGAGTCCCTTTTGTCCTTTGTCTTCAATCCCTAATGCCCCATCCTGTGAATGATTCTCACCACCTTTTTCTAAAATGCCTTGGATGCATTTGTTTCATTCCCAAACACCAGGCTCCAGATCAGCCCCACATGATCTCATGATGAGACCCCTGCCAACCTCTCTCATTTCCCCCTTTCCCAGTCACCCTGCAAACAGCTCTCTGAATGATGTGCTTCTAGACTTATTCTGCACTCCTGGGTTCAGCTGAATTGACAGGGCCCTGGGTGGATAAGAACAGGGTGCTCACAGCCTGGGCCATGCTTCAGAAATTTATTAGAGGCAGATGAGATGGCAAAGAGGACTAGGAATGGGAGTTTTCAGGACAAAGCATTAGGAGGGATGTGGATTGAGTGGGGTCCAGGAGGGAGCCTGAGTCCTTGTGCACTGGACAGGCAAGTATAGGAGATGCTCAATAAAATGGAGGAAAGAGGGAGGAGAAGACAGATGACATGAACGCATGTGTAGTATGTGTGTGGTGTGTGTGGTGGGGTACGTGTATGTGTCATGTGTATAGGCAGTATATGTGCATGTGTGGTGTGACATGGTGTGTATGTGTGATGTGTGTAGGGTGTGTGTGGGCACACGGTATGTATGTAGATAGGGTATGTTATGTGTGGTATGTGTGGCATATGTGTGGGTGGCATATGTGTATGTGTGGTGTGTAAGAGGTATATGTTCATGTGTGGTGCGTGTGTGTAGATGGGTTTTATATGCATGTGGTATGTGTCTGAGGTGTGTGTATGCATGGTGTGATATGGTATGTGTATGTTATTTGTGGTATGTTTGTGTAGTGTGTGTGGTGTGTATGTAGATGGGGTGTGTATGTGGCATGTGTGTGAGTGGCATATATGTATGTATGGTGTGTAGGTGGTATATGTTCATATGTGGTATGTGTAGAGTGGGGCTGTGTCTGTGGTGTGTGTATATATGGTGTGATGTGGTATGTATATTTGTGGTATGCTTGTGTAGTGTATGTGGTGTGTATGTAAATGGGGTGTGTGTGTCGTGTGTGTATTGGATGTGTGGTGTGTGTCTCTGGTGTGTGTGTTGTGTGTGTTCAGGTGTCGTATGTGTGATGTGTGTATATACGTATGATGTGTGTGTGGTGTATGTGTGGTGTGTATGTGTAGTATGTGTGCAGCATGCATGTAAGTGGGGTATATGTTTGGTGTGTGTAGGTGGTATATGTACGTGTGTGGTGTATGTGTATGTGTGGTGTGATATGGTATGTGTGATATGTGTGTGGTGTATGTGGTGTGCACAGGCAGAGTATATGTATGTGTGTGTAGGTGGTGTGTGTGTGGTATATATGTGTGTATGTATGTTTGGTATGTGTCTGTATCTGTGCTGTGGTGTATGCATTATGTAGTATGTGTATGTGTGGTACATATGTGTGGTGTATGTGTAGGTTGTGTGTATGTATGGTGTGTGTGTGACGTGTATTGTGGTGTATATACGTGGTATGTGTATGGCATTTGTGAGGGTGGGATATGGGGATATGGGTATGTGTGGGGGGGGTGTGTGTGGTATGTGTATATGTAGTGTTTATGTGTGGAATATGTGTAGATGGAGTTTGTGTACATGTGGTGTTTGTGGTGTACATGTGGTGTATATGTGTGGTACGTGTGGTATGTGTATGTAGGGGGTGTGTGCATGTTGTGTGTGTGGTGTGTATATGTGTATGTGTGGTCTATGTGGTATGTGCTGTGTGTGTGCTGCATGTGTAGATGGGGTTTGTGTGTGTGGTATATGTGGTGTGGTATATGTGTAGTATGTGCAGTGTGTGTGATATGTGTATGTGTGACAGGGTATGTTTAGGTGGTGTGTGTGCATGTGTGATGAGTGTATATGTGCATGTGGGGTGTGTATGTGTTGTGTGTGTGGTGTGCCTATGTCTGGTGTATACACATGGTATATGTGTGATGTGTGCATAGATGGGGTTTGTGCACGTGTGGTGCGTGTGTGATGTGTATGGGATATGTATGTGTGGTGTATACACATGGTATCTGTGATGTGTGTATAGATGGGGTTTGTGTGTGTGTGGTGTGTATGTGTGATATGTGTGTAATGTGGTATGTGTATGTGTGGATGTGTAGAAGGTTTATGTGCATGCGTGATATATGTGTGTGTGTGGTGTGTGTATGTGTGGTGTATATGTGTGGTGTGTGTAGTGTGTGTGATGGGGTTTGGGTACATGTGGTATGTGTGTGGTATATGTATGTGTGGTAAGGGTGTAGGTGATGTATATGTGCATGTGTGGTGTATGTATATGTGTGTGGGGGGTGTGTATGTGTGGTGTATATGTGTGGTGTGTGTAGTGTGATGGGGTTTGTGTACATGTGGTGTGTGTATGGTGTATATGTGTGGTG